AACTAAAGGTAATTTATGACTCGTAAGAATTTTTGATCGCTTTTACATGTATTGGTCATTTATTTATTGTTTATTTAAGTTTGATATTATAGTTCAGTAAGAAGCATTAACGTTTTTTGGTTTCTCAATGAGATTACGAGGTTCTAATCGCGGTTATCAAATATAATTTGTATGGTTAGAACCATACAAACCAGGAAGCTTATAGCCTGCGAATACAGCCATCTCTCCTCGCTCCTCGCCGCTTGCCGGGGAACGTTTCACATTGTCCTAACCAGTGAGGAACAAGGACAGACTGCTACATTCGCGGGGTTTTTTTACGCGTTGTTAAAAGCATTGTAAGGGCGTCTCAAAGACTTGACATGTCGTGTTTGAAGAGCTTATAGTACTTTCTTTGTAGACTCTCTTCTGTGCTTTAATTTGCTATCAAATTTGAGGAGGACTTCAGTCAAAAAATTATTGATACTGACATTCGCCGAAAAGTAACGTTTCTGTCCAGTACGCATGGTCTGTAGCCTCCCACGCAGTCGTTTTGAGCGGAGTCGTATTTCCTCCCTCCAGGGAAGAAATACTCTACTTGGTACGGGATTCCAATCATAGGCTGAGCTCCACGTTGCGTTGGCATTTTGTGGTTCGTATTTAAAACAGCGTTGATGTTTACTTAATATTTTATCGTCACTTTTTCCGCGATTCCATCCATTGAAACCACTTTGCCGGGATGGGATTTAATGGTCAAATTTAGACTGCAAAACAGTCTGTTTTTTTCTCTAAATCAGTAAAGAAATCGGTATTGCATGGTGTAAGAGTCTTGCGCGCGCGAAGCGCGCGAGCCTCACACGTCTCTCCCCAGTCTCGCTCTCTGTTTTCAGCCTTGTTCCAGACCTTTTCTTTGACTGCTCGCGCGTACTTGAATACGCAAAAATACGGACTGTTTTACAGTCTAGGTCAAATTAGGGAGCTTAACCAACTACGACGACGACCAAAACGACAACTTCAAAAAACAGTATAGGTTTAATGATCAAAAGAACAGCTCTGCACGTGCATTACGCTTTTTAGCACATTTCTTTGACGTCCACTGCACGACTACAACGTGAAACCTCTTAATTTGACGACTTGTGGAGGACGTGGACATACGACGACGAATTATCCTTTCTCTTTTGAAACTGAATGAAATCTTTAAGAATTCAGCTCCAGGAAAAGTCGCCTACATTTGGCATATTGAGCGGGTCCAAATAGACGCAAGTAAGTTTGAAAGAACGCAAATTCATCAGTTTTTTTATCAACGTTTTCACTGCCGTCGTCGTCGTCCTTGCTTAAGGTCCCTATTAACCTTCTCACTCAAAGAGCAAATTATAAATAAGTCACCCCTCCCGAAAGGGGTTTGTCAGCCTTTAAAAATCGGAGGTTGGCGCGTTTCTTTTTCTTTCTTCAGTCGTCACTCGGGGATTCTTAGTGGGGAGATGTTTTATCTTATGTTTGAGTCTATTTACAGTCATATATTGTGGCGATTCAGTTACTGAAATCTTCTAGTTGTTGTTTTTGCAAATTTTACAAAAATGTATAGGCATTTTGTTGGATTTTGATTCTGGCCTTATACGAGGAATGAAAGGGTTAGAACTAAGCACTGAACAACGTAAAGTGCTCCGAGACTACGGCTGTTAATGAAATCGTTGAGAATCTCATAGAAATTAATAAGGTGCTTACGTGACTCTTGGTTTTGTATTCCGTTATTTAATATTAAGTGTAAAACTTTTATTAAAGAAGTAATCAGTGTAACTTGGGTAAGATTCTGTGTTAATCGCTAGAACACCATTATAATTAACGTCATTTCATACTGAAATGTACAAGTAAGTCTTGAATGACAATTGCTGATTGTATATAATCATGGGTCGTAGACAGAGTTGTTACTTTGTACACTTGTAACAGTAACCTCGATATTTTGCAGATACATTAAAAATCGCTCTGAGTGTTGATGTTTGTCTATGAAGATTTGCTCACACAACACAGGTTTAACGTTCCCTTTTCTGTAGTTAATTCGCTCTCTCAACTTAAGTGATAAGTCTTCTCTTTTCCCAACGAACCCGTCACCACAGTATGTTATAAATGACCTTGCGTATCCTCAGGTTAACGTTTTCCGAAGGAAAGAGGGGCACGGGCACTCCTAGCGACTTGTCAATCATTTTTGGTACTCGTTCGTAAGTCGGACACCCATTTTAAGACCGACGGACACCTTGAGTAATAGTCAGTGCCCCATCCGATTTCCAGATTACTGGGCTTTAAGTAGCTTTAAAAAAGAAGGCAGCCGAGTTTTTTTGCGGCCCTTCTAATTATTCCTCAATGCATTTTTAACTCACTGAAAAACTGTTAAATGTATTGCTCCCACTTAAGGGTTATGAAAAAAGTTTGGAAATAGTTATAGTAAAGCTGAGAGGTTTTCAGGTGAGGAGACTACGACCTTGTGTAATTTATTAAAAACTGAATCATTGGATAAAGCAATTCTAAG